ACATATCCATTTAAACTGAGCTAGGAGGTGAATTAAAGAGAACCAGATCACTGTGGGGCATCTACACAAGCACCCCAGGGAACTGGTTGGAGGCTGGGACAGTGGCCACAAAGAGCCATTGATTGTGGATCAACCCAAAACCAGGAGAAAGCAAACATTTGGTTGGATCTGTAAAATGCACTGGGCAGAAGGGGTGGGATTTTGTTTTGTTCCTTCAAGTCATTTCAGATTTATGGTGACCTTACGCCAAGTCTATCATCAAGGATTTTTGGGCAAGAGGATGTTTACCTTTGCCTTTTTTTGAGGTTGAAAGACTTAGCCAAAGTAACCCAATGGTTCACCCAATGGCTCACCCAATGGCTTTAAGGATTCAAACCTTGGTTTTCAGAGTCATAGTCCAATGCTGAAATTACTACATCACACTGGATCACTTTCTGCAATTAGGTGACAGTTAAATTAAACTTTCCTCATAACACTTATTTCATGCAGGTCTGTTTTTCCCATTGAGAGCTCACATGGTGTAGTGGTTTGAGCATCGAACTATGACTCTGAAGACCAGGGTTCAACTCCCTTCTAAGCCATGGAAATCCACTGGGTGACCTTGGTTGAGTTACATAGTCTCAGCTCCAGGAAACCCCTTCATAGGCGCCTTCTACACTGCCATATACGAGGGGTATTTTGTAAGTAAGGTCCGTTTTGTTGTAGACACTAGTAGTTCGCGCACATACCACAACAAGCGTGTGCGTTGTGTACTGGCATGCCTCGGGAAAAACTGTGCTCAGTTTCTGCTCTGTAGCTAACCTGTACGGTTCTGTTCTGTGCTTTAAAAATGTTTAAGACTATCAACTCACCCGCCGCATGTGAGGTTCGCTCAGTGATACGGTTTTTGTCAGCAAGGAACCTGCCTGCTGCAGAAATTCATCGACAGATTTGTGAAGTGTACGGTGATACTGTTATGAGTGAAAGCAAAGTGTGTAAGTGGATACGACAATTCAAAGATGGCCGTGACAACGTCCATATCTGCAGCAGGCAGGTTCCTTGCTGACAAAAACCGTATCACTGAGCGAACCTCACATGCGGCGGGTGTGTTGATAGTCTTAAACATTTTTAAAGCACAGAACAGAACCGTACAGGTTAGCAACAGAGCGGAAACTGAGCACAGTTGTTCCCGAGGAATGCCAGTACACGACGCACGCGCTCGTGGCGGTATGCGCGTGTACTGGTGTCTACAACAAAAGGGTCCTTACTTAAAAAATACCCCTCATATAATCCATCTGCTTTGAACTGGATTATATGGCAGTGTAGACTCATATAATCCAGTTCAAAACAGATAATGTGTAATATCCATTTTGATAATCTGGATTATATGGCAGTGTAGAAGGGGCCATACTTTCACCTTAGGGTCACTATAAATTGGAAATGACTTCAAGGCACAATCAACAACAACAACCCTTCCTGTGGCCAGAATCATTCCATAATGTTTGTTCGCAAGCAAGCCAATTTGAATTCTAATGGAAAGAATATCGCTATTAGGCTAATAATGAACATTTTAATTAATTAATTAGCTTATATGATTTTGTTCTCTAAACCCAATATTATTGGGAGATGGGGAAGAACTGTAATATTGCTATTTATCTTATAATTTCTCTTTCTTGAAATAGCCCAATTACACTTTTTAAAAAATAGCAGAAAAGCCTCTGCTACCACAGCCAGGGACAGAAATTGACATGGGCCAATTTGGAAAGACTCATCAAGGGGCTCTTCCTGCTGGGATAGCAATAAAATGAATAAAATCTACACACAGTGGGGGTTCAATTAAGAATAAACCAGCATAGGACAGAAAACCTTAAAGGCCTCAGTGGTTCTTTGTGTCAGAGTTTGAAGTGATTGATTTTCTAAAACCACTGTGTGATTGAAGTATGTTATTGCTGACATAATTTCCTTTATTTTTAACAAGAGCCATTACTAAAGATGACCACAATTAGTCACCACAACCTTCAATATTTCTACACACACACACACACACATTGGAAATTATTTTTTTAAAAAATAATATATCTGCAGTACAAACACAGTTAGCTCTCAACATTTGCAGATTTAATTTTTGCAGATTTAAGTATTCATGCATTTGAATAATATGTTTTGAGCAGGAATCTCTTTATCCTTTAAGGTTCTTCTACACTGCCATATAATCCAGATTACCAAAGCAGATAATCCATATTATCTGCTTTGAACTGGATTATGTAAATTTACGCTGCCATATAATCCTGAACTGGATTATATGGCAGCGTAGACTTACATAATCCAGTTCAAAGCAGATAATATTGATTATCTGCTTTGGTAATCTGGATTTTATATGGCAGTGTAAGGTAAAGATAAAGGTTTCCCCTGACAATAAGTCTAGTCGTGTCCAACTCTGGGGTGGTGCTCATCTCCATTTCTAAGCCAAAGAACCAGCATTATCCATAGACACCACCAAGGTCATGTGGCCAGCATGACTCCATGGAGCACCGTTATCTTCCCACCAAGGCAGTACATATTGATCTACGCACATTTGCTAGGTTGGCAGAAGCTAGTCCTAACTGCTGGAGCGCACTCCACTCCCTGGATTCAAACCGCCAACTTTTCAGTCAGCATGTTCAGTAGCTCAGCGATTTAACCTGTTGCCCCACCAGGGGTCCCATATGGCAGTGTAAGATGACTGTGGTCAACGTGCATCATAGAATCAACCCGGAGAACCTAGAGATCCCTAGATAAGTCTTCTTTCAGGTAAAGAAAATTACACTTGCAATTTGTATTTGCGGTTCTCCCACTTTTTGCAGAGGTTCAGCACCCCAACTCCTGCAAAAGTGGAGAATGTACTCTAAATGTCACTTCATACTGATCAAAATCCCAACATTTGCCTTGAGTTTTTATTAAGACATTCAAAGCAACACTTCCCACTGTTAAAAAATAAAATAACATGTGGTGATGCTTACTTTTAATGTATGACTCCCAAAAATAGGCATGCTAGCACTGCATTTGCATTTTGAAAACCCACCACAAATCCTATCAGGAGGTGGAGGATTCTGACAAGAGAAGTCAGAAAGCACCTGACTACAGCAATAGATTGGTAATTTGACCTGGATGCTCTTGACAGAATAGGCTAGCAATAGATGACTGCATGCAAAAAGATCTTGTCGCACCTATGAGCTAACTGTGTGAAAGAAATTGTAGCAGAAGCTTTTGTTAACTTAAGTCTGCTTCCTCAGATATCTCCAAAACTGTGCTTGTATAAGATTTTCACTGGACATGACCCCGATATGGCTGAAATGGAGCGTGGTCCCAGCAGTGGAGGGGCAACAGCTGGATAAAACCAGAGCTTTGCTGGAAAGGAAAAGCTAAAAGCATTCATTATAGCTTCACCAAATATTAGAGATGTATGGCAATCAGAAGACTGATGGCTTTAAGGTCAGTAAAGCAGTGAACTCAGCTTTTAGTCCAAATGTTAAATGATTCATGCAAGGTGCTGAACCCTATTCACCTATCAGGTTTAGCACTTGGGATTATTCATTTAATTTTCAGACTAAATGCTAAATTAAATTCACTATCCCACTGGTATGGGAGGCACCACTGATAGAAATGGAAATGGGACAACTGAAAAAGCTGGATTGTAGGGCAGGATAAAGAGATGTTTAGAGTCCCAAGTAAGTGTAGAAAACCCAGCTCTGGAATAGGAGTGAGCTAAGTGTCAAGCTAGCAGCCATGAACAAAACTCTCCATGAGAAGCAAAAAATAAGAAAAATGGGGCATATCTTGTGGCAAAAGGCTCTTTGGATCATCTGAAGGATGCAGCTGTCTGTGACCCTCAATTTGGTTCAGAAGTCTTGGAATCCCTCCAGAACAGCATGGGAAGTGACTCAGAAGCTTCCAGAAACTGGGGTAATTAGCATTTCCCATTCTGTCACCGGAAGCATCCAAAGGATCCAGAGACTACGCTAAGCAAATGGACAAACAAAACAACGGAGATGTGAAGTATACTGGAATGCAGGACAGTAAGAGACTCTTGAAAGAAGACACAGGCCGTCTATTCTGTTTCCAAGGATGTCACTCACAGTATGTTCTGCAAAGCCTGTTCCCAGGTAAATGTATAAAAGAACACACCTTTTATCTGGGATATCCAGGAATGGAACAGAAGTGTGGGGTGTCTGATCAGAAAGAAATAGTTATGAGTGAAGCTAAGTGATGCTATAGGAAAAGAACTGAGAGTCTAGCTGCATTCTTTTTCTTTTTGCCTGGTGTTTTCAAAAGCTTTCATTTCCTACTGCAGACTTCAATAGTCACTTCTTAATGTCCTGCATGGTGCTTTAAACCTCTTTTATAACTTTACAGATTCATTTTAGCCACAGAAAGTGTTGGAAAGGAACCTGGGTATTTTTTCCCCTCAAAGGTTTTTCTCCAGTTGCAAAAAGAGAAGGACAATTGATCTCCCTCCAGCCACAGGTACCATCTCCAACTATAAGGCAGGGTTTGGTATCTACAGCTGATCCCTGGGTGATTTGTGGGATCAAGTAAACATTGAAATAGATCTCATAAATCTTAAATCTTGTCCACCTTGCTATAAGGAGTATAGCAATGAGAAGCACCAAGGAGCTGTTCCTGTAATAAATTTCACCTGTCTCTTTGTGTTTCTCATTTCCTCCCAACAGGATCAAGACTGGTGCATCCACAATGCACAACTATAGCAGTTTAACACCATTTAAACAGCTGTCATTCCATCTGAGGGAGTCCTGGGATTTCTCCTTTGGTAAGGTCCTTAGAATTCTCTTTCCCACTGGCGAATTATAGCACTAGAGCTCCTTAACAGAGAATTCTAAGTATTATAAATTCAAGGATTCCACAAAACATGGTACCTGAAGAAAAATTGCAAGGCTATAACTGTGCAGTGTGAATCTCCTTCCCCTCTCCCCAATTATATCTATGAGGTTCTCCCTCCCACTCTGATAAAAAAAATTACTTACCCGGTAATCACTGGAGGTGACGTAGAAGATGGGCAAGAAGGCCAACCAGATGATGCATGTGGTATACATGGTGAATCCAATAAACTTGGCCTCATTGAAATTTTCAGGACATTTCCTGGTCTTGAAGGCATAGACTGTACATAAGACGATCAAGAGGACATTGTAGGTAAGTGAAATCAGCATACTTGAATCTCGGTTGTTGCACTTGAGAGTGACAATGTATCTTTTGTCTGGCTCTGTCTCCTTTCGTGTACCAGGAGTCTCCACCATGAGCCAGATGATAACAATGATTATCTGGCAAGAAATAAGAGCCATGCAGATAACCACCTGTGAAGTGGGGCTTATGAACCGGGGGCGTTGCACACCTTCTTTCACCCCACTAAAGATACGAGCGATACGGTTTGTCTTGGTCAGGAGAGCGGAGTAGCAGACAGCAAAGGAGGTACCCAGTCCTAGGCGACGCAGGGTACAGACTGCGGTGGAGGGCTTGGCAATGAAGATGAATGTCATGCTGTAGCACATCAATACCCCAGTGAGCAGGATGTAGCACAGCTCACGGCCAGAAGCCTTCACAATGGGAGTGTCATTGTTCTTAGCAAAGACCCCAAAAACAAACATTGTGGAGATGAAACCAAGGCAAGAAATAGTAACAGGTCCAATAGCCCACACATCTTTCCAGCGGATGTACTCTTGGGGTAGCTCATAGCATCCATTTAATGTCTCATTGGGCCAATAGCCAGGACCACAGTCCTGGCATGTAAACTCATCCACCAGATACTCATAAGGCTGGCATGGGATACATATCCAACAGCACATGTCTCCTGGCTGCATGCTCTTCATTTCATTCTTCTTGCAAGGGTCACTGCACTGGGAAACAGGGATTGAGGTCTTCACCCATGGAATGAGGCTTGTGTTGAGGATGAGCCCTTCTGCCCAGTAGCCAACTTTCTGATAGTGATATCTCCCATTGCTTCTGTGGTAATTAAAGATATTGTAGCGGCCAATTCCATCTCCACAACTGTCAAATCGAACTGTACTTTTGGTGTCTAATGATGGCCGAAATGGAGCTGTGAAGCAGAATAGAGAGAAAATCTAATTCAAATGATAGGAAACGGAAGAATGGTAAAATTGGATGTCCACTTTTAATTGAATTGTAGCTTTACACATACCTCTCTCTCTCCTTCCTGGGGAATGTCTATAAAGGATTAACTACAAAGGATGAACATATTTGAAAGGAACCTGCTTCTGCCTATTGGCATTGACAAAAGAAAAGACTAAGAAAAGAAACATTTGGGCAGAAATAGGGTGTTCCATCAGAACGTATGTTCTGTTATCTTTGCTTTCAGCTCCCCCCCCCCCCCCATATTTCACCAGCTAGGGAAGCACTGCAGAACAACCAGAATAAAAATACGTGTATATATGGTCATAATTCTCTTAAATATTAGTGAAATGTAATCACAACATTTAACGGAATGGCATAATGCTTGTTGGCTGTCTCAGTACTTTCACATTAATTGACTACAATACTTGCAGGTGGGAGCAACTTTAGGTGTGAATTAGATGTACATAGATTAGAAACCACTGGCTTCATCACACTAGAGAAAAAAATCCACTTAAAATCTGGTTTCTGCTTCCTGCAGAATTCTGGGGTTTGTAGTTCAGGGAGGAGCCTTTAAACAGCCTCACTTAACTACAAACCCCAGAATTCTGCAGGAGGCAGAAACAAGATTTAAAGTGGATTAATTATCTAGTGTGACAAAGAAGGTACTGACTTGTACATTTGAGTTGCACAATGATATATGCCCCAAGGAGCATATCTGATATTGGTAGGGATTACACACATGGATATGCACATACTATGCATATACATAGCACATTTAACATATCGCCAGCAAACTGAATACACATACAAGCATCAAAAGATTACATGAAGTCCACAGTCATACACTGTGTACCTCTGAAATTCCCTACACTGTTTTCAAAAGATGGTTGGTTTATAGCTGCCAAGTTTTCACACTGATGTGAATACAGTACTTGCAGAGGATACATTCATGAACTTCACACAAATATATACAACTACAAATGGCCTAAGAATACCAGGGTTACACTGAAGGACTTAGAAAATGCCTAATGAAGACATATTTTGTCAGATGTAGATAAATTAAACCACAGATACAGCCACATAGATACAGGGACTGCGCTATTATGAACATGAAGGAGACCAAGCTATGACCCATTAAATCTTGAGATAGGGCTTGCTCAGGTGAACCACAGGTCATCCTATCCATACCAACACAGGAAGCCAGGAAGTTTAGTTGGTGAACATTGTCTTAGCAATGAAATTGAATTCTGAGGCAAGTATCACCACAGAAAGACTCCCAATGGATCCAGGCTCCCTGCAGCATGTGTTTTTATGGAGGTGGGGAGGGCGCTCATTTAATTTTCTAGTGCAATGTGTGAAGTAGTAGCCCCAGGATCTCACCAATCACTTACTACCTTAGGCTGAACTCCTGCTCCCTGTGCCTCCTCCCCTTATCTCCTGTGTTTTGCCTAACACCCCCAAGCATTTCTACTAGTGTTGCAAACCAAAGTGATTAGCTTACCATCAAACGTTACATTGAGCATGAACTCCTTGTAGAATTTCTTGCCATTCACTGGCTTCATGGAATCACAAAGCTTGGAGACATTTGGGCACAGCGCTTGGTACATGTTGTGCAGGGCATGGGCCATTGCATAGACTGCATTGACTACAAACATAATCTTTGATTCTTGCTCAAACTTTCCTGTTTTTAGAGAGAAGCGGCTACAGTTTTGGTGGTGGAAGCTGCACTGGAACTTGTGTTCCCAAAATTCCCGGAACCATGGGTTTCGACTGTTGTTGTATGGGTCAAGGTTCCGAAAGTACACAGCAAATTCCTGTATTGGATAGGATGCTAATTCAATCGTTATAGCTCCCTCAGCCACTGGTTCACTACCAGCCACTACACTCTCAAGAGCACCCCAACCATCACTTGCTACCCATGTGAAGGAAACATTGATCCTTTGGGCAGCTGCCAACAACTCCCGTGCATCCTCACTTCGGGTGAACAGAACTACCACTTTTGCACTGGGTTTCTGCATCAGTGCCTTAATCACACCATCAAAAGTCTTCTTGTTCATGGATCGCCCCACTTTCTCAGAGGTAGCAATGCAAATGTTGCGGGCTCGGGCTTGCAGTTCAAAAGCTTCAATTCCTGTTTCTCCGTAGTCACCTTCTGAGGCCACCGTGGAGACATAGGTCCAGTTAAAAAACCTCAGGATCTCAGACATAGCCTTAGCTTGATAGAAATCTGGTGGAACGGTGCGAGCAAAGTAATCATAGCGAGACTTGTCACTGAGCTTGGCACTAGTGGAAGCATAGCTGATCTGGGGAATCTGGAACAGTCGCAGTAGATTAGCCACCTAAGGGGAAACAAGAGAGGGAAGGGACTTGTTGAGATACAGAAAAATAGCAAGTAAAGATGCATACAGGAACAGTGGCGGTTCAGACTTTTTTACCTGCTCCAGAGAAGAAAGCGATAATTGTATTTTAATTCATTGATTTGTTATTTATTAAATATGTATATCCAAGGATTTCAGTGTAGTTGACAAAATGAATTTTAATAATAATAATAATAATAATAATAATAAAAACTTTATACTGCTCTATCTCCCCTAGGGGACTTAGGGCAATTTCCTAATACCAAAACACCAACATACAGAGTACGCAAAATATAAGCGTAGAATGATCAAAACAACACAAATACATTAAAAACCAATCCCACCCAATTCTTTGTGCAAAAATTACTGTTAGGGCAAGAATTTCAAAAATGGGCCTAGGTAAATTAAAAAGGCCAGATCAAGACTAGTGTAAGAACAGGACATGGGGTGTATGGGTAAGGTGCAATAACCGGTCCCAACCATAGTAAAAGTGGGGCCTGTGGCTGCTCAGTTCCAGAGCCTATTGGGGGACTGTCCAGGATAGAAGATGAGAGTGCGAGGCCAGATTCTAATAGTGTCCAGGGGCTGGGCTGGCACTAGTCATTTTCAAAGACCTTGTGAAACCACCACATCTTACGAAAAGAGGAGAGGGATGGGGCCTGTCTTATTTCCCTTGGAAGGGAGTTCCAGAGGTGGGGGGCCACCACTGAGAAGGCCCTCTCTCTCGTTCCCACCAGTCATACTTGTGACTGTGGTGGGAGCGAGAGAAGGGCCTCCCTAGAAGATCTTAGAGTTTCCACTGGTCCATAGAAGAAGATGCGATCACGAAGATAGGTAGAGCCTGAACCATTTAGGGGTTTATAGGTTATAACCTGCACCTTGGATTTGGCTCGGTAACTTATTGGCAGCCAATGAAGCTGTTTTAATAGGGACATTGTATGCTCCCTACCATTTGCTCCAGTTGCCTGGCTGCCACCCATTGTACCAGTCGAAATTTCTGGGCCGTCTTCAAGGACAGCCCCACATAGAGTGTGTTGCAGTTGTCCAATCTGGATGTAACCGATGGTTTAAATATCTAAGAAGAGTTATATGTTGGCTTCTAAATCAGGGGCATGTATTAATTTTAGACCCCAATTTAAGCAATTAAATTCTTAAGATTCAATTGAGACTTCTCAAATCACAGTGAAGGAAACATGGGAGTAGTTTAATATTATGTTTGAGCTGATACTAGTGATTTGCAATCAACCAATAACCCAGAAACAGAAATCACAGTTTGAAGTGTCTGTATGATGTTTGAACTGAAAAATACTGTGAGCATTGTTCTTCTTTTAGATACTTCAATACCATGGTGATGTGAAAGACAACATTCAGCCATAAGGCTAAACAGAAGGAAAATAAAAGTAGCCTAGAAGCTTAAAATAATAGCTTTTCTATCATACCATTCTCAAGCCATGGTTGGTACAATGTACAGCTTGTTGCCTGGAATTTCTACCTGATCTTAATCTTTAAGTACATCTGGTTTCATAAAATGGAAAGAGAAAACAAATCGCAAGGCACTGGTTTTATGATACTATTGCCTAACAATCACTTGCGGCTTCACATGACCACTGAAGACTTGTCTCCCATACTCAGAGAAAAGTAGGTTATAAATAAACAAACAAATAGATTCATGCTTGAATTTTTTTGTGTGAAGACTAGAGTATTGATATTCAAAAACATACAGCTCACATTTGGAGAGAGTCAAATTCTCTTCCGGATCCTAAATTTTTGCAAAGTATTTGTACAAATGGGAGAGTGGGGGGGGGGGGGCATACTGCAAATCTAATATTCAAAGCATATGTTTCAAAGATGCTTTGCTGTTGACAACACAATCTTAATTGGATGTGTAACCCATGTTACTTTCTTACATAAGGCATTAGRTTAACAAAGGACAGCAGTGCTGCCATCAATTAGCCTCGTCTGGACTAATTGTTTATGGCACACAAGTGCTACTTTGAGATGTCTGTGACATGCACTTGAACTGTATCATATGCACTGAAAAGCTCTCTAGAAATGTTGGTGGGATGTTGCCATGTGAAATGTCTGTTAGAGTGAGAAGCACACATAGAGAAGCCAGCACATGTTCAGTGGGCACCAGATTTCTGAACCACATAAAATGCAGTAAAGATACCCTGCAGTGTAGAAATGACCTTAAATTATCTTCCTAGACCATTGAAATTAACCTCTTGCTGTGCTGAATAGGGCATTTAATGGGCACTGTTATGACAAGCTTCTTGCAGTTTCATACAGGCAGATGTCAACGTATACATTTGGATGACATTCTGGAAGTTTTTCCTGGCAGCTGTAATGGCTAAAACCCAGGAGTTTAATCCAAATCAAATCAATAGGTATGTTACCACTGATCTCAGTAGGAGGTAGATTGCACTTGTTAAAATGGCAAGATGGAATGATGTTGTAGCAGATAACAGCATCACAAATATTCTTATGCACAGCTTCTCTATATGTTTTGACCTACATCCTTAATGGCATAGTTAGCTTTTTGTTTGTTACTAGGCTAAATCAGACCATGCAATTGCATTGGGAAAATAAACCAGAGTCATTATGTGTTGCATTCAATGAGCCACACTGACCATTAGTTCAAGCAACAGACTTTGTATAATTGGGAACAGCACAACAGCAAGCCTATCTAGATTGTCAGTATGAGTTTTGATTTATAAAACCCTTTTTCCTGGCAAATGGAATCGTGTCAGTATTGATTGTCGGAGAGACACAATTCCTCCTAGGATTGCATAAGCAGTCTTAATAAACACATGGATAAAGTATCCTTATTGGCTTTCTTCCTAGCTATCTGTGTCACAGTTGGTACAAATGTCCATCACATTTGCAGAAAATTGCTCAAAGACAGTGCTTTGCAACAAAATAAACATTTATAGAAATCTGCCTCTTAGTGTTCAAGGCAAACTATCTGGCAGTACCAATTCTGACTCCCAGCAATGCCAGTGCTACAAATTAGGGAGGGCATAGGCTAGACCTTCTCTGTTTTGGATGTATGCCTCTCATGCATTTATTTATGAGGAACACATATTATGTCAGAGTAGTGTGAAACTGAAATGTAAAAAAAAACTTTGCAAATGATTTTTGTCTTTAAAGGAAAGGATGTTTTCTAGAAAACACAGAGATACCGCATCAGGAAAATGGTCAATTGTTGTGAGCTCTTCTCATTTGAGGACTTTTGGGGGAGAGGTTACCACTATGTTTTTGTACAGAAAATATGCATTCCCAAGCGTCTCAAAGTGAAAAAAGAACAGTGAAATATATCGTTGAATGAAAATGTCAATTAGTTTGAAATATTTTGAGCTTTAAAAATCATGTCAGGGTTGCCAACTTAAATTTTAGGATTGAAAACCCATCACTACTTAGTGGCCCCAGTTCAGTGTAAACATGTTTGGATCTATACTGCACCAGCACAGCATCACCATGTCAAAGAGCCAGGAGCAAGAGGAGAAAGGGACAGGTGAGAGAGGTGTTGTGCCCATTCACATGGTCACATGCCATTTGTGCAAAGCACTATGCAGAACACCAAATGCATGATTCCTGAGCTTTTATATTGCATCAGCCCTGGGCAGCAGTGGCGATGGGCTTAGATTTAGAATAATACCTCAATGGACTGATGGTGAGGGCAAAGGAAAAAGAGTTAGAGAGAGAAAACTGGAGAAGGAAGATCATGAATGAGGCTAGGAGAAGTGGGGGTTTTAAAAACCAGGGGATAAGACGAAGGACTTTGGACATTTTGCCACCAGCGTCATAAAATGGAAGCTATCACCTGCCAATCATGTGAGTTGCTCCTGCAGAATTCTGGGAAATGTAGTTCAAGGTGGAGCCTTTGGAATTCTCAGCTAGAGTGGTCCTCAGCTTCCCTAAACTACATTTCCCAGAATTCTGCAGGAACAGATGAGACGATTGGCCTCCGTTCTATAACACTGGTGGGAAAACCTCTTGGATCACACCAACTTGTTGTCTCACAGTATTCATGCAGTTGAAACAAATGGAGACATGCCAGTATTGCTGTTCTCTGAAATTGTGCTTTGGTGATGCATGGTCCGGTACCATTTTTCTACACTGCTTAGTAAACCCTGCCTTCCTGCCCGTGCATGGCCTATGTAGCTTTTGCACATGTTTAAATTTCAAAAGCAACCTCACCTTTCTTGGAAATAGTGAGGGGGGGAGGGGAGAATCATGCCCACTCCTGCCACATGAATGCCAGAATATCGCAACTGCAGCGGAAGGGACTCATCACACGAGAGACAAAATTGGAACAATAGTGATAACAGGAGCCATTGATGGGTTTCCTCCATCAATGTGAAGAGATACTCTACTAACAATTGAAATGCAAAGCAACAACATAAAATACATCTGATAAGTTCCAACAAAACACGTTATTATCTTGCTGTAACTGCAATTTACCAGAAGGGATGGATAAAGAAGAGAAAGGCAATTTTTTTTCATTAAAACTAAAGTTGGGAAATAAAAGAGAAACAGGATAAAGGACACAGGGAGAGCATCAAGACAACAGAAGACAAGAGACAGAGAAAGACTGGGATAGAGGAATGGTCACAAGCATTTTAGATAAGGGATGCTCCTGCATTTTGTTATTATTGTAATAATGCTCTTCCTCAGGATACTTAGCTAAGTGCATTTCCTCCTATGAACTCACACGAGCCCTGAGGTCCTCAGGAGAGGCCCTACTCTCGGTCCAACATTGTCTCAAGTGTGATTGGTGGGAACGAGAGAGAAGGCCTTTTCGTGGTGGCCCCACGGCTCTGGAACCCCCTTCCTATAAAGGTTAGAATGACTCCCTCTGGGCTTTCATTTAGAAACCAAGCTAAAACCTTCCTATGGAAGCAGACCTTCCCTGAAGGAGATCATTATCATGACAAACACCAGATCTTCGTATGCAATGTGCTAAGTATAAAGTAGATCTT